AACCTGGTCCCTAGCTCCTTTTCTACAGACTCAGAGAGGAATGAGGGGAACAGGGTCCCCACAAACATACCCAATCCCAAACCCTGGCACTCCAAGGTTGCTTTGAGGGGGGTGGGAACAAGGGCCACCCTGCAGGTTGGGGGAGGGAATGGTAACCCAAGCCGCTGAAAAGTGTTACCATCCCCCCACCTCAAAGATGAAGCCGCCCAGCTGGCCTAGGAGGTCCTCGTGCAACCCGTCTCCTGGAGCATCTCCTTCAAAATTAACGATTTAAAGCACCCCCCGTGCCTTTACGCCCACCCACACAAAAAAAAAAAAAAAAAAAAAACAACCCAACCGGGCGCAGCCATGACCTTTGCAAAACACCTCCCAACCAAGAATCTGAAATGCATAGGGGATTAGCTTCAGTACAAGGCGAAGACACAAATATACTGGGGAGGGGTATGTTAGGGTACTGGGGTCCTCAGACCTGCAAATCCCCATCCCCAGGCCTGAAACCGCAGGCGCTGGCAAAATGTTTTCTGTTGCCATGGCTGGTAAGGCCCAGCCCTGGCGCTTCTTCCTTCCACGTTGGTGACAATTCCCCCCCCAACTCCCGGCTTTAATTCAATTAAATAAATATCCGGCCCTCCTCCTCAGCACCTTCGGTGTCTGCCTTGTTGAGTATTTTTAAAATCAATTTGCCCCTCCCTTAGGCTTCTAATGAGCTTGGTGCTAAGAGCCCAGTAACACTCAGCAATTTAAACTCTAACCTCACTTGCTCCTTCCTTGAACACTAGGCGTTTGTTGCTCTGATGGTTGGAGGGAGGGGGAGAACCCCAGGCGAGTTTTTAAGGGGCCGGTTCTCCATCAAACAGGCGGACCTCAAAATTACCTTGCAAAATATTGCTGCGAAACGTCAAAGATGTCAAACGACTGTTGGTACACCGTTATTAGAGCGCATCAATAAAAAATACACACTTACACAGTCTCCATAATTGTGAATCAGCAGAACACTGGCTTATTAGCTATCGGCTGCCATTCAAGTCCCCCCACCCCAAAGGATTTGGTGGCGCTCCCTTGAGCCTGCCCTTCGTAGCTCCCGGGCTCCTGAGCTCGTGCAGACTGATGCTGAGGTATTACGAAGGGTGCAATCGAAAACCCGAGCCCGCTCATGATGCAACCCTGGCCCGGTTTACACGTGCTTCCCTTCCCCCACTGCATGCTGGTGGTAGCGCTGCGTTTTTTCCGCCTGTAGGGTCACATTGTGGTTGATTGATTCTCCTTTCGCCTTGCTCAGTCATTCAGATTTGGAAAGTAAATAACAAGTTGACATCATTACAGCTTCAGGCTTTACCCGGTCGCCAGCTCTCGGCTACCGCAGACCCTCGAGTAGCTGCGCAGCAAACCCTACCCACCTAGCCTGCCCAGTTTGATGTGTCCAAATTAGTGCTTGGAAATTCCAAGCTGGAGTTGGTTAAAAGCTTCCCTGCATGTTTCTATTACTTGGCAAGCGATGATCATTTTTTAAAAATGGGTAAGTGGTGAGGGAAAAATCTCATTTTCTATGTAGGGAGCAGAGTGACCAGGTTTTATTACAGGCCTCCTCTGACTAACAAAGTGGAGGTTTGATTCTACTTTGCCAGCATGATATGGTATCGAAATAATCCCAGTTTTTGCTTTTGGACAGTCAAGGGCTAGGGATTTGGAGAGATAACTCAGCGATTAAGAGCATTTACTGCACGTACAGAGGACTCAGATTCAGTTCCTAGCACCTACAAGCCAGATCACTACCACCTGTAACCCTGATTCCAGGATAGACAATGCTGTCATTCTATCCTCCTATGGTTCCTACATGCATGTGAGGCACATAAATTCTTGAAGGTACACACACACCTAAAAATACTGACTAAATAACCAAATGTTTGTTTTGCTTTGTTTTAGAAAGAAAGAAAGTTGGTAGAGGGCTATGGGTAAGGTCCAAAAGATGGGAGGCTGAGGCAGGGGTATATAGACTGGGATATACAGCAAGAACCTATCCAAAAAAAATTAAGGTCAAGTGTTTGTAATAAAGACTCATGGAACCACCATATCATTGTAATACCTAAAGACAAGAAAACAGGCCCCTTTTTACATAATAAAATTACCAAAATTCTCTCCTACATGAATGGAAAATTAGACTTGTATTTATTTACTCTGGCTGTTTGCTGTAGGTGCTGGTGTGGAAGAAAACATGAAAATAACGGAAAGGAAGCAGCTAGTGCCCTCTGAAGAGGAAAAGGAGTAAACTACGTTGTGTGTGTGTGTGTGTGTGTGTGTGTGTGTGTGTGTGTGTGTGTTTGTGTGTGTGCGCACGCGCGTGCGCGCGCGTGGGCGCGTGCTTGCACTTTTTGCAAAAAGAAATCGACTTACTGAATTGCTTTCACTTTGTTCATGTGGTCCTTTGTGCAACACCGAGATTATTCTTTTATCAACAGTGGTGCCTTGAGATATAATACCAAAAGCATGAAAGAAAAAAAGTGAGTTGGGTTCATCAAAATTATGGAAGTCTGCAAAATTACTGTTGAGAATAGAAGATAAGCCAGAAACAGAGAAAACAGTTGTAAAATCCATGCCTGACAAATGATTGGCATTAGAAATATACAAAGACCTCTCTGTTTTTAAAGATTTGTTTACTTTTTAAATTATGTGTATCTTGAACATGAATGTGAGTGCCTGTGGAAGCCAGAGAGGGTGTTGGATCCCCTGGAGCTGGAGTTACTGGCTCTTGCAGGTTGTCCATGCAGATGCTAGAACAAAGCCTCTGCAAGAACAATTCTTGCTCTTAACTGCAGAGCCATCTTTCCAGCCCCCAAAGAAGTCTTAAACTTCATGTGGTAAGAAATAACCACATTAGCAATAGATAGGAAATAAAATAAGGCTAGGGAGATGACTCATCCAGTAAAGGCTGGGACAGAAGAAAACTGACTCCTGAGAGCTCCCCTCTGATGTGCACACACATGCCCATGCGCATACAAATATGTGCAAGTAAATAAATGTAACTTTAAAAACTTAGGTGTTTGCACGGGGGTTGGGCCTAGGCCCTATCCCAAAGGATAGGACACTCTGATGACACCCTATGGAAGGCCTCACCATCCAAGGGGAGCAGACAGGATATAGGATAGGGTTTTAGTTGTGTGTGGTAGGGGAGGAGGGGAGGGAGCGGGAACTGGGATTATCATGTAAAACAATCTTGTTTCTAATTCAAATAAAAAACATCTGCAAAAAAAAGGGTAACATCAAAAAAACACTTAGGTGTTTGGCCTAGTGTTGTGGCTCACACCTTGAATAGCAGCACTTGAGATGCAGAGGCAGCCAGATCACTGTTTGAGGTTAGCCTTGTTACACAGTGAGTTCCAGGCCAGTCACGGATACACAGTGAGACCCTATCTAAAAAATAAGTAAATAAATAAAATTTGCTCTCTTACTATATCTTATGACATAACTATTGTACAACTGAAAAGAAAGAGGTACCAAAAATACAGCTGTCAAGATAAACATTATAATGCCATTTTCCCACCTTGCAGGGCTCCATGCAGGCCAGCAAGTGTTCTACCACTGAGCTATACATGCCAGCCCCAAACAGATTGCTATGTTTGTGTATGAGTGCATGTGCATGCTAGCATGTATTTTTAAATAAAACAAGGGAAGGAAATGACAGTAGAAGGGAGTAGCAGGTGTCCTTGGAAACTAAGCTCCCTCTGTTTGGTGATGGCACTAGATTCTGGAAGAACAGAAAGGGCTACTGCTTGGGGCATAACCATGCCACCAGAGAAAGTCAAGATCATAGCACAAACTCCTGAAAAATGGAATAGCTATGCACTAAGTATGTGGTGATGCATGCCTGCATTCCAGAATATGGGATATAGAGGCAGGATGATCAAGAGTTTGGGGAAAGCTTGGCCTAGAGAGACAGACCCTGTCTCAAAAGGAAAAAATTAAAAGGAGCAGAAAGGCTACTACCTCAAAGGAAAATATGTAATCCCATTTTGGACGTTTATTAATATATGCACACATCTGCCTCATGGAGTTCATGTATGAAGGTCAAAGGACAATTTTTGAGGCAGTTCACTCCTTCTACATTGTGGGTAACAGAGGATCAAATTCAGGTTATTAATCTTAGTAACAAGTGCCTTTACCAGCTGAGCCATCTCACCAGAATTATTTCTATACTTTTATTTCAAGACACAATGCCACTAAATTTCCCAGACAGGCTTTGAACTTGTAATGCATCTGCCTCAGACTTCCAAGTAGTCTGAGATTGCAGAGCCCTGCCACTAGTTCAGGTAGTGGTAATGGCTCCAGTACAGTAGCACTGGTGACAGTAGCGGCAGCTGTTGTCTTGTCTTTTTCTACTTCATCTTCTTCTTTCTCTTCCTCCTCCTCTTCTACTTCTGAAATATTAATTTATTTTCATTTTATAAGGGTTTTGCCTGCCTGCATGTCTGTGCACCACATGCATGCAAAGCCTGTGGAGGCCAAAAGAGAGTCCAGAGAGGTCCTCTGGAAAAGCAGCCAATGTTAGTATTCAGGCATCTGTACTGGCCTGTTCTTGGGGTTCTGACAGGATACACCCTCAGCTGCAGCGACTTAAGAGTACCACCTGTGCATAGTCACTATGTTCCCTTTTAAAAAGGGTTCTTCCCACTCCCCCTTTCTCTCTCCCTCCCCCTTTCTCCCTCTGCTCCTTTCCTGCCTGTCTCTCCCTCTCCTTCTCTCCCTCTCCTTCTCTCTCCCTCCTTCTCTGCCTCTCTCTTCTCTTCTGGCTCCTGAACCCAGAGGCCTGTCTCCCTTCTCCCATCCCCCTTTTCCCATTCACTTTCCCCCCAATAAAACCCCCTCCACCCAAGCTCTGTCACATGGCATCTTTCTCTCTTGCACTGCTTTTTAAAATTACTAATGCTAATTCACTTAACCACTAAGCCCTCTCTCCTGCTGACATCAATGTTGCTGCCTGCCTTCTCCTCTGCTTCCTCCTATTCCACTTCCTTTGAGAAAGTGTTTCACAGAGTCCAGGCTGTGTGGTAATATTTTGTTTATGATATAATAAATAAAGCTTGCTTGAAGATCAGAGTGCAAAGCTAGCCATAGCCATATAGGCCAGGCAGTGTAGTGCACACCTTTAATCCCGGCACTTGGGAAACAGAGGCAGACAGATCTCTGTGAGTTCAAGGCTACCCTGAGCTACACGAAATTGCTGAGTCTAAAATAGAAACAGCTCACACAAAGGAGATCTCAGCACTTAGGATCCCATGCCTTTAATCCCAGCACTAGAGAGGACTATAAGACAGGAAGAGACAGGAGCTCAGTGCAGCCTGAGTGCAGTCAGAGGAGCAGTGCAGTTTGAAGATGCAATCTGAGGACAGGATCGCCTTTTGGTCTGAGCACTGGTAGAGGTGAGAACTCTCTAGTGGCTGGCCACTCTGCTTCTCTGATCTTCAGGCAAGCTTTATTTGTTAGATCATAAACAAAATATCACAGAAGTCTCTGCAAGGATGATCTTGAAATTCTAATTCCCCACCCTCTGTGAACCACCCTTTCGTGCTTATATGGCTCTCTGAATCACTCTCAGAGTTTTGTGCATGCCAGATGAGCACCTTATCATGGCCATGTCCTCTCCTGACTTCAATGATCCCTGATGAGAATGTACATGCTTTTTCTCTCCCTTTCTTTCCTCTTCTGCAGTTAGCACTGAACAAGGTCTATGGAAATAAACACAGGATAGGGGATGATCTCATCATAAACAGTACCCCCCCCACACACACACACACACTTACAAGAAAGAAAACACTGGGCAGTGGTGGTGCATGTCTTTAATCCCAGCATTTGGAGGGGCAGAGGCAGGGGGATCTCTGGAGTTCAAGGCCAGGCTGATCTATAGAGTGAATGCCAGGAGAGCCTCCAAAGCTACACAGAGAAACCCTGTCTCGAAAAACAAAACAAAAAATGACATTACATTGACACAAAAGAAGTCTTTCAAGAGATGCTTCAGTGATTCTGTGGTTCTTGGCAGATCAATAGCCTCATATTACTTTCACATATGTAATGTATATCGCTGGCTGGCTGGCTAGTTTTATGTCAACTTGACACAAGCTAGACTTACCTGAA